CAAGTCACACTTGAGGAGTATGTGCTTGAGACCTGCATACTCTGCTGTCTCTGGAAGAGGCTGTGTCAAGACAAGTGAGTGTGAAAATTCTATCTCACTGCTCTTCTGGGAAATTTGTTTTAAGCAGGGGATTTAAAACTCACTGCTATGCAGTTCCTAGAAAAAGGTCATTGAAGATAGGGTGTTGGGGTGAGGCAGAAATAAATTTCCATTTTATTTCCTTGTTTAGTCAGCTGAATTTGACATAAAGAGCTCTGAAAAATCAAGCTGATATGGTGAATGTTTGAGTACTAATGTTAGCTCTGTGAATGTTCTACATGTAACAGGTAGCACACAAAAATGAGAAGATGCCATCTTGGTCCAAAGCATAAACTAAGAGGACAGCATCTTCAAGACAAGAGTGTGTCCAGAGACAACTTTGTTTTCCACATTTTCAAACAGAAATTATTTTTCCTTTAAGGAAGGAGGATAATGTAGGAGTAGTCATAAATGGAAAGAAATGCAGAAATGGAAAGAATTTCCAGTGTAGTGATGTTTCTGTTTTGTGACTAGTCAAGTTTGACAGGGATTTTATGGGGCTGGGAGGAGGGTAGAAGTATGTTGCATGAATTCCAGGTTGTTTTCCCCAGAAAATCAAAATGGCCAAGCAAAGATTGTTATCTCCAGAATAGTGACTGTTTATTTCCTATAGAAACTTAGAGTGAAAAAAATTGGAACCTGCTGCTGTCCTGAATGATTTTTTTCTGTTTGTTTTCCAGATAGGCAGCAGCCAGCACTTGCTTGCTAAAAGAAAGTGCATCAGGCCTGTATGTAGCAGCTCCACTTGAGAAATTTGTGTTAAGAGCGATTCAGCTTCTAAAGTGTGTTATTCTTTGAAACAAATTTGAGTGGGAAACTGAGGATAGAAAGGGGAATAATTCCTTGCCCAATGTCAGTCAAGGTTCTGTGATCCAAGAGAGAATATTTGGCAGTAATTCTCTGTTACTCAGTTTCTGAGTGCTAGTGGGAACTCTTCCAAAATAAATCTAGTCCAATAGTCTAAATGCCTTATTTTGTAGTTTACTTTCTGTGTAGTTGCTTTTGAATTAGAGTTAATGAATTTCCTACTGCTGTCACAACAGACTTATTTAGAAGAAGACCAAAGAGTTCTAAAGTTTTCAGCAACAGGACACTGCTACTCCATGATCTGTATGGCCCTGTTCACTTGAGTGAATGGTCAAGATAAAAGGAAGTAGTTGGAAGTTTTTTGCCTATTTTCCTGCTCTTAGTAATGTTAAATACATTTGAATTTAATTAAAAATACTGATAGGAATCCTGGCTTGGACCTCTTTGGAGGAGTAGACTTTGCTGTAAACAGGATAGATAAAAGGAAGAGATCAAATAGAGGAGGTCACCAAATACAGCTGTTTCTGGAACAAAGAGCTGGGTTGGGCCCAGTGCAGGAAAGCCTCATCCTGTGCCAGGCACATCTGTCCTTTACAGCACTGTTCAAAGTCATAGAGGAAAAGGTTGGATATCTTGGCTTCCTATAGGTGTTTTAGCGGAGATTGTAGGATCTCTATGTTTTCACACTCTCAGAATTAATTAATTTTTTAAAGTGCTGAAAAGAAAATTCTAGGTCTGCTGAAGATACAAAATTATGACAATGGTGAAAGCTCCTCAAGCAGTTGGTCTGCAGAGTAATTGGAGGTGATGGAAAGCATCTTGACACAGAGAAAGAAAGTGGCTTTAAGAGAAGCTGTAAAGTAGAAGTAAAAGCTTTTAATTATATTCAATCCATAGGCATAGTCTAGGCCTATATATACTTCTCTGAATTCTCAGTTAATTTGATGTCCAGGAATTGTTTTTTTTTTTCTTTGTCTTGTTTCTCCAAAACTCATTCTATTATAATTATTTATCCACTGTCTCTTCTTACATTCAAACATGACTTTAAGAAAATATAGTCTCCTTGAGGACCAGGACAGTTGCTATTATTTCTGGGTTTTTTTTCTAACTGTGTTGCAACATTTTGTGTCCTTTCTTCAAATAGTAACTCCCATTTCATTTTTCATCTCTTTCCTTATTATAAGTTGTACCAGCTAAAGTAATTTGCAGTAGAACATTTTGTGCAGGTGCTTAAATATCACCAAACTTTACATGGTTTATACTGTTATGAAATGAAAGGCATTGGTCATGGGGAGGCATGCTGCTTGGGAGCATTTTCAGATTGAAGGTTTTTTAGGCTGTTCCAAAAGTGAAAGCTGTATCAGCTAATATTTAAAATACAAAATATATAAATCCTACATTTGGAACAAGTCTGTAACCTTAAATGTGGTTTTCCATATTGCTGTGCCTAGGTATGTTATAAAGGTCAGAAATGTGTTCCGTGGCCTGGACCTAGCTCCTGGGTAAAGTGATTCTAGTATCTTTAAATTTCTCTGGATTTGAGATCATCAGAATTTAACTGTCTGACACATCGTGATTTAATATCTCAGCTGTCAGGATCTTGGCTTTTTTAGGGTCAGGACACTGCAGGCTGAAGTGCTCCTTTCCCTCTTCCCCAACCACTTCTGACAGGCTCCTTTATATTAGTAAAATTATTTTCCCCCTTTCTTTTTTTTTAAAAAATTTACTTATTAAATATTCTTGTTTTCATATTATCTCCAGTTAAGAGCTCAAATGTGATATCTGTACAGTAAATGCAACTGAACTACTTCTAACAGTTCCTGCTTCACTGAAATACCTTCAATGTAGATAATAAGAACAGTGTGAGTTCCCCTTAGGAATTTCAGCAGCTGTTTGACCATGCAACTGATGTTAGAGAGGACAAGAAAATATTCTCCCACAGATGGTGTAGATGGCTGGCTAGAAGGTAACAGATGATACATGGCATTGGCCCCAAATCATATGTTTGTTTTTACTTCTCATTTGTCATTTAAAATATTTAGTGTTTTTTGATATGAAGCATAACTTGCTAATGACATTATACCTGCCATGTAGAGTTCATGAGATGTCAGTATGATAACTACATTCTGAAGTAGTGATTTCTGCAAGTGCTAAATGAATTCACATTGATCTTACACTACTGGAGGATCTATTGTCATTTGGTACACAGGAGGCCTTTTACAATTCCCAGTGGCTTTAACAGAAGGGTGAGCAGACCCCAGCTATGTTACAGACCTGTTTCTATAGGTTCAGTTTACTTGCTTTTGTTATGTGTCCCTCTGAAATCTGTATTATTTTGTCTTGTGAACATGCTGGGAGGCTGTACCTCTCATGACAGTGCAGCTTTTGTCTAGAGTATTGACCTTTCTAAAAATTTTTTAGTGGATAGCATGGCCTCCATGGTTAGTTTTTTGTGTCCTTCTTCCAGCCCCTTCAGAGCCATGTATAAATGATTCAGCTGTTTTCTTCTTGCTGGGAGCAATTTGGTTTTGGTGTAAAATAAAAGTGAGAATTTTAATGCTTCTCTACTTTTTTTTTTTTTTTTCTTTTTAGGGAAAGAAGTATGCTACAGGTGTAACTTGTTATAGCCTGCATCCCTTTGGACTATTCCTTGCTCTGAGGTCCTCAGCTTTTCCTTGTCATGGAGTGCCTGTTGAACACCTGGGTGTTTGTTGCTTGCCATTAGGCAGTGATCCCCTGTTGTGGCACTGTCACACCAAAAGGCCTTTGTTCAGTGCTAATAACCATAGGAACCCTTGAGAAGACAAGTCTTGCTTTCTTTCACTGTTGTTCAACTAAATCTTTATATTTGTAAAAAAATTAATGGAAAGGACTGAGAGAGCTGATATGAACATATCTGTAGCTCTGAGTGTTCATTGTTCTTCTGTTGTATCACATCTCCATTTTCAGAAACCTCTGCTTTCTGGGTAAGGTATAAAGCTCCAAAATGTTAATTCATGGAGCTGGCTGGTACAGGCACAGCTCATTCTAGGGATCACAATGCAAGTAATTTCCCCCTCCCAAACCTTACAAATCACATTCTTTATATAACTGGATCTCATTTCTATCTCTCCTGAAGAGTCTTGGTTTAACAGGAAGAGCTTCCACATACAGATTGGTCATCTTTGATCATCCTTGTTCCTTTTCACAGAACTTTTTTCAGTTCTACTTTAGTGGAGGATATTAAATGTAGGATAGTGATGACCTCTGCTTTAGCCTCTACCCCTTTCCCAATAATCCTGAGCACTCTGTATAGTTCTGCAGGTAAAGTTTCTCCTCTACTACTGAGCAAGAGCTGGGATCTCTATGGAGCTCTCTGTTCTAACATTGAGATTTTTCTCCTGGTTGGTAGTAAGCTGTTTGGGGTCCATCACTGCTTAGGTGAGTTCGGAGTTTGGTTCCCTGCATGAGATCCATTTCACTTGCCATTTTGTTATCCAGTCATTCAGTCTGTAGTTTCTTTTGGTTTCCCTTGCTGCTACTTTCACATTTTTTATGCTTAGCTGATATAATGTGCACTCATCGGTGAAAACACATCATAAATAATAGCATGATAAGAAAATCTACAACTCTTCTATCTGGAGTGTAATGTATTATGGATATTGGTTTTCAATCCGTTGTATTGCTTACAACAGATGAAATGTAGTTTAGTGTAATTCAGTGTAGAGGTTCTGCTGGCATGATGAATGAGGGACATGCCATTGTCTTCTCACCAGGATCTCCAGATGGAGTTTCCCATGCACATGGTAACACATGCATTTTAGGTATGTTTGAATGTAACTTACTTTCTTGTGTGAACTTTAAGATGAATTCTATAGATTTTTGAATACACCTTATTTCTACATGTGCCTTTTTTTGATTTCAGAATTGTTTTGTACCAATGACAAGTGGGCAGAAACGTTGCTACACGTCAGCAATGCTATCCAAGTGCCAACTTCATTTCAGCGGAACATCTGGATTTCCTACGTGTTCTTATTACCTGGAAGAGTTATTTAGTATGTTTTTATGAGGAAAGGCAAATGTTTAGTAAAACTTCTGCTTACCAGATTGGCTTTTGTCTTCCTACTGCAACTCAGGTGTAGTGTGTTTGCTGAGACCTCTTTTGCTGGATGTCGTCCCGAGTATTCGACAGACCGCTGCCTTGGCTCTTGGGAGACTTGCTGATTATGACGCGGAGCTGGCAGAGGCAGTCGTGAAGGCAGGCATCCTTCCACAGCTCATATGTTCATTGCCTGAGGAGAATGTAAGGCATGATTGTTCTCTTGAATAATATTTTTTTAAACTATTATGCAGGGAAAGGGAAATCTTTCTGTATCAGCATCTGCAGTTATTCTAATAGGACATGAAATGTGTCGAAGTCAGAGCAGCATGTATGTTTGAACCCCTCAGAGATCACTGTGTACTCTATGCCGAAGTCTGACTTCAAATAAGCTTGACTTTAAAATACTGTATTACCGTTTAATGCACTGTAGGAAATACATTCATTGCACTGTAACATTTTTAAAATGTTGAGTGATACTTTGTAAAAGATCCCCCTTCAAAAAGGAGACAGTTTGGAAACTGTGGTGATAATTGACTAGGTTTTGTCTGTAATACCGGACATGTGTAAAATACATACAAAACCCCTGAACTTCTGTAGTGAAATACTTTGTATCTCCAAACGCAGGCCTTTGGAAATTTGTAGCGTGAGAAATAACAAACCCTGTCACAGGAAAATATATGGAAAGGTTTCTATGTTCACATTTGTCAAAACAAAACAAAGTACAGTCACAATTGCAATGCAAATAAATCTGTTGGTCTCTTCCACTCCCTTCCTCACATTTTTCTTCAAGCTCTGTGTGTCTCTCAGCTTTGATTTTTTGAATGATGCTAATCTAGATTAACAGAAATACTTTCAAGTAAGGTTCCTAGCAGCTGGAAACTGACAGCTGAAGGGTTAAGTGCACTGATATCACCACCATACTTATGTTTCAGCTTTGATTTATGAAAAATAGGTTTTCAATGGAAATATAATTTGGAAAACCATATATTTTCATTTTCAATCTTTTGAGGAAAACAACAATATAAATGCACTCAGTGCATATTTTTTGTGCATATAGAATCATTACCTAAAGAATTAAAGTTGGAAAAGAAAACACTAAAGAAAAACTTTGATGGTAAGATACTGGTATAGTATGAAAAGAAAGTAAAGATTTTAATTAGACAAGGTTGTAAACATTTTGGTTATTTTATTTATATTTTTAAGGGAATATGTGAAACAAAACTCTACCCACTGTTGGTTTGGAAACTACCCCCTGCTACAACTTGAAACCCTCACTAAATTAGCTCAAATACCCTGAGGTAATTAGGGGAAGCAACAGCAAAACTTGTGTGAAGTCATGGAAAGCCTGCTACGCCTTGGTGACTGAGGGCAAGAGGAGGAAACTCATCCAGTTCATGCAGAGTTTAGCAAGCAGTTTGTCACTTCCCACAGGCAAAGAAACCTTTTCCATTCCACTCACTTGGACTGTATCAACATCTGTATTTAAGGATGAGATTCTTTGAGCACACCATGAATACTGTTTCTACTGATTTATGGGGAACAGTCACAGGGTAACATCCCAGATCAATGTTTTGACAATTAAACTGAGCAAAATTCAGTTTTACAGCATATTCTGGCTATGCCTGTGAGTACGGTTTGTTTCTAAAGAATGTGCTTTGAATAATGAAAACAAAGAAGTGTTTTTCTTTGCCAGGAGCATAATCACTTAACAGAAACAACATACCCATATTTGTACAGACTTATGTAAACAAATATGGCTCCATTGAGTTCCACAAAACTTACAGTAACTTACATTATCTAGGGATTGGACCATTTGTCTATACTTTTTCCCTTAAATTCTGTTCTCATAAATGAGATTTAATGCTTTAAACATACATTAAACTTAGAAGTTAAACTATCCGCTTGTAGACCTTAACTTAGAAAACTGGATTTTTGACATAAAGGAATTATATCAGTACTGGTAAACTAAGGAAGGTAAGGGCATGTGTTGGAGCACTGAAAGATGGCTGTGCTCATTAATCAGTAGTATGCTCTCTGATGTGGTTTTAGGCAATGCCAGCAATCAAACTACTCAGCAATGCTTGTACATGGTTTAAGGGATAGCACAAGGCAGGAACAGTTCCCAGTAGCATAGATCAGGCCATTGTGCTTTGAGAAAAGAGGAGTTCAGGTGGACAGATGTGTTATGCTGTGTCACCTTCTTTTAGGGCCAGGGAGTGGGCCTGGGCGCATTTTACTTTCTGGAGAACCATTCTGTTCTGTTCTGTTGCCATATCTTAGTGCTTTAGAGCAGGCTTTTGAAGGTGCTTGGGTACCTTACAGGATGCACAAAAGCACTCATGTGGTTCTCTGTTCTTCTGGACTTGATCCAGAAGGGATGTGGGCTTTGCGTTGTTTAAATTTTGGGTGCCTTGACAGTAGGACTAGCACTGCAAAGTGCCCAGGCTCCCTGTGCTGAGCAGGGTAGAATGAAGCATCTTGGGATGAAATCAAAGCCAGCTGGCATACGGAGAGAGAACCCTCTAGAGCTTGTCCATAGGATCATCTGTCAGTGCCCAGGCTGGAGGGCATGCTCCAGCACATAGGCACAGCAGCAGGTTACCTGTGTCCCCTCCCCATGAATCTTGCCCTTCACAAGCGAGGGGAACCTGTCTTTCTCACAACATGGTTTTCTCTGGCCAGAGTACTTTAACTGGGCTCTGGATTTTAAAAATGTAAGGCAGTAGAGAAAACTTCATCTTCCATATCCTAATGGTGATTATAAAACTGCAGGAGGAGACTGACATGTGACTTTTTGAGGCAAGACCTCAAAAACTGTGCTTTTGGAAGAAATCACTGCTGCAGTTTACATGGGATCCCCATACTGTGTGCAGTGTCATGTATTATATATACATACTGAAACCATTATTTGGTTCAGCACTGAGGGAGATGGGCAGAATTGAGACAAGAGCTTGGACTCCATGTGCCCTTATGACAAAAGGGCCAGGTGCTTAGTCCTCTTCAAGGTGAGCTTTTTCTGGACAGGCAGGAGTAAAATTGCAGTCTGCTTGGTCAGAATTGGGGATTATTCAGTATTGGGTGTTGGTAGGATGGGTTTCCAGTATCCTAGCTGTGGGTTTTAGGCAGTATTTAAGCATTTCAGGATTCAGATCCTAAACTCTTTTATTGGATCTAATTCTCTCTGTTTCAGTTTCCTGTTTGCAGATGTAACTAGTGTTTTCTCATAGAGATGTTGTGAGGGTATCTATTTTAGAAAGTGTAAAACCTTGAAAGTGTTACAGAGGAGTAGAATTATTTTAGAAGCTTGCCCTGGACAACCTGTGTAATCTGGTTAAATATGTTAAGCATTATTGTTTTTGCAGCTCTTGTTGTTCATCGCTCACTTAAACAAACAGGCTTACCTAGACTACTACCCTTTTCCCGTATCCTCTTAGCTCTCATTTTTTCTGTTTGTTGTGCACTTGCTGCAGATTTTATATCATGAGCTGTCCCAAAGAACGGTAGGTTCATTGTTTGTGTGATGTCTAGTGGTCCTGATTCAGATCTGTATGAGATATTGCTGCTACTAAAAAAGTCTAATTTAGGTATGTCTGTACTTTATTATGCTTTGAACTTCTTAATGTTAGTGAAAGTTTGTTTGTTTGTTTCTGATTTGTCTAGCGTTACTACAAGAAAGCAGCTGCTTTTATGCTAAGAGCAATTGCTAAACATTCTCCACAACTAGCTCAGGCAATAGTTCAGAGTGGAGCACTGGGGATGCTGGTGATTTGCTTGGAAGATTTTGACCCTGGAGTCAAAGAAGGTGCATCTTGGGCATTTGGGTATATTGCACGACACAATCCAGGTAAAAGTTTCATGTGTGTTATCTTTTAGCTTAATGTCATGTGATAATAATAAATGGTGTTATTTTGGTAAATATAACAAGATGCTTTTTCTTCTCTACAGTTACAAAATTTTAAATTTGGGATAAAACCCCAGTGGAATGGTACAGTGTAACTGTACCATTCCAACAGTGCTGTACCTTTCTGTGGGAAACTGGCATACCTGACACCAGCAGTGCCCAGTTATGAGAGGTGCTTTAAGAAAAGATGTTTTGGGCCTGTGGTCAGAAGAAGACACTTTGCTTTATTCCTCTTCATGAAGAGATTTCGGAATCTTTATATATATAGTGTAGGTGTTACTGCAGAACCAGGTTTCTTTTGCTTGACATTAGTTCTTCTTTGATATACATAATTGAGTGGAGAAGCCTAGGGAGAAGCAAGTTTCATTTATTTATTACAGTAGTGTTTGTAGGATAAGTAGGCCAAATTTATTGCATTATGTTATCATTAGCCAGTGGACCACACTACTCTCTGAGAGTCAGGAATAGATCCTAGGAATCCAATATTGAGCAGTTCACTGCTGTCTCACAGGCAGTTGTATAACTCACTGGTGGTGTCATGTTCCTATTTAAACACTGATCCACATGGTTGATAGTTCTTCTACCAGCTATTTATATAGTTGAAGTAAAAGTTTAGACTGTGAATGGAAGAACTGAGGGAAGAAGCTGCTAGCTGGAAGGGGTGGGAGAAATAGTGATTGTATTTTTCAAAGTTAAACTAAACTAACTATAACATAACATTCATAACATTCATTCACGGTTTTATATTTGGTTTTGGCTCTAAAATGTACATAGACTGATTTTGAAAGTGTTTTTCTTTGTTTTTTAATCAATACAGAATGTTGGAGTGCAGAAGGCATGGGGTGTTCCCCCTTCCCAGTTAGCAGGTTAGCTTACTGGGACAGTCTCCAAAGTTGTTAGCACCTTTCTAACAGACTGCATTTTCTGGGGATCAAATTTATTCTTGGGACACCTCTCTGGTAATGATCTTTTATCATTTGGTCATCAGGATTGAATTCCACCCTTGATGGGAAATAATTGTTCCTTTCATCTGGAAGATATTTATTTAAATATCAAAAGCATTTATTTGTATAAATGTGTGCAGTGTGTGTGTGTCTGTGTTACTCTTAACGTAAACATTTCTGCAGTTTTGTTATGTCACTAAATCAATATTGACTCACTTCAATTGCCCTTCATGCTATTCACTGCATGAATGCTGATGGAGCTTTAGGGTGATCCAGTTCACTCTGTGACAGGGTTGTCTGCAGAGGTGCAGGTGATGTGGAGGTATTGAAGACAAAAAATTCCTTGTGCAAATTTTTATTCCGTGGCTATGAATAATTTATTTGCTGATGGTGAATGGGTGCATACCTTATGTCAATTTACAATGACAATAAGAACAGTGTCCTAAGAAATTAGGTTGAAATTGTGAGTGCTACCAAGCTGCAAGCATCAGGACATAGACAGATCATGAGATGTAATCAGTAAAAGAACCATGAATGCCAAGAAAAGCCCACTGAAAGAACCCTGAAACGATTTCCCAACTACAGCCAATTTAGGGGATTTACCTGCATCTACAACAGTCACAGGATGTCTGTAAAATGATTATTGAAAGTAAGGGAGTTATACTGAGAAAAGATCACTCTGTGCATCATACATTTCTTACACTGCTACAAGCATGACTTTGCAACATGATATTGCTGGAGATGGGATACAGAGACTTTCTCTTATCAGTAGCTGGTGTTTTCTGCTCAAGAAATTCTGGATTAGACTGACATGCTCCTCTTGGTGGTCATGATTTTCTGTTATTGACTGTCTGGACAGTCAATTATTATGGACATATAATGCAGCTTTAACTTTAAAAATAGACCTGGGTATGAAATGGTTCTCCCCAGCCGCAGAAGGTTTTTCAGTTTCAAAAGTTGTCATGTCACAGATTTGAACTGGAGCAATAATAAGTCAAGAATTTGCTCTCTCCTGAAAAGATTGGGGATAGGGAGATTGGTTTGTCCCAGCAAGAAAAGTTCAATAATTAGGGCATGTCTCTGGGATTAAAGTCCTGATCTGTTTTAGGCAGGATGTGAACCTCTGTCTTAGTGAGTGCAGTCAAAGCCTCCCAGCATTCAGAGATAACTGTTTGCAATGGTGAGGGTCTCTCTGCTTTTAATCAGAAATTGCATCCATGACCCACTAAAGCTACTAAGAACTGCAGTGTATGTTCCCATTAAAATACTTCCATTTTGAGAAATTGAGGCTTCTCCCTGCCCCCCCCCCCCCCCCCCCACCAGTGAAAACACACTCTGCTTAGCAAATTCTATACTGACTTCATATGAAAATATCTTAAAATGCAGTTCTTCTGGGAACAGATGTCTCCAGAAGGCCTGTGAGATTTTAGGTAAAGACAAATGTCTCATGAGGTTTCAAGATGCTAGAAATCTTGCCAGGTCAGATTCCAAAATTTAGAAACTGCTCTTGCAGTTCTGCTGTTTCTTTCCCTTTGAGCTGAATTTCAGATACTAATCTTACTCTAAAGTTTACAAATCAACGTGTTGTGATTTTGCCATTCATTATTTTTACTATTTGGATTTAAAAAGAAGTGTAAAGTATTTCAAATACCATAGATGCCATCAGGTCCATGAAAAATATTTTGTAACATTTTACTTACACCATATTGAGTTAAAATGCAAAACTTGAAGTATGCAAATAAGTTGGCTTTCCATTTTCTTTTCTCTGTCTGCATTAAATGTGTAATTTATTAATTGTCTCATACCTGCTTCAGTATATTGTAAATTGGTAGGAAAACAAAAATAAACAACACTGTTGATACTGAAGCTTATTGCTATAAGCTGAATTTTGGTCATTTTCTGTCATACAGTGGACCATAGCTCAGCTTAGAAGGGATCTTGGTACATCTCTAGTCCAGCTTGCTGCTCAAAGCAGCATCCCCTACAAGAACTGCTTCATCAGCTCTTCAGTGATTTGACTGACCTCCATCCTCCTGATGAAAGGTTTTCCCACTGGTTCCAGTGGAATCTTTAGCATTGTGGTTGTAGAGGCCTACATGAACCTCTGATTTTTAAGTGCAGCCTTTGGGCTACTTGTGGGAATTAGAGTCTTTCTATATGGCCATAACATTATGATACAGTCCTCAGAAAAATGCAGTATTGTTGGTTGTTTTGGTCAAAACCTGTTGTTTCCTGTGGATGCACCTGCTACCACAGCAAGGTCTGTTTGAGAGCCCTGGTCTGAACTGAAACTTGAATTTCCTTCCAACCAGGGGTTTTGCTGCTGCTCTTCTATGGGGATATTGTCAATATAGTATTGAGCTGATTTTCTTTCTATAGGGACCATCTGGATAGTCACTGTCTCACCTTCATCTGTTTCCCCCTCATCTGGCTTTTATAATCCATGCTATTATTGTCAATGTGATAATATTAGTAATTTTTTTTAATGCCTTAAACTAGTTTAGAATAATCCTGTAAGACTTCCCAATGCTTTCAGTTGGTATATAGGTAGGATTTTGGCTCCACTTGGCTTTCCCCTCTTCCTGATCACATAAACTCATGATGAGTCTTCAACTTACTTTTAATTAATTTCTTCATCCCTGATGAGCACTTTTGTATTGAGACAAACCAGTGCAACTCTAGTACAACTTCTACTGCTAGAACTGGTGGCATCTCAGGCTCCAAAATCTGTCTTTATTAGTCTTTCTTCTACATCCATTTGAGTCTTGTCAGCAGTATCTCCATTTGCTAAAATCTTCCTCGTGTAGATCTGGATGCAAACTGACCAAGATTTTGGTCAGTTTTGTGACATAGCTGTCTTGTGTCTGAACAAATGGAATCCAGTTTCCTACTTTTGCTCACATAGGGAGAAGTTCAACTTTATCATCATGTAGTTGGGCAGGTTTCTTGAGTTGCATCCAGCCTGTGGTTTTCATAACCTTCTGTGGAATTAAATGAGGTTCATACATTAGCTTTTCTCTGCTGTTTTTCTCCTCTGCAGCTATAGGTCTTGTCTTTGCCCTTATTATGCAACCTTGACATAGTATTTGGAAGAGTATTTTTGTAATTTGTTTCAGTTATTTTAATTTTTTCTGACTGAATATTTGGTTTTAAATTTTTTTTATTGCCAAGTTTGTTTTTGTTTTCGTCTCTTAACTCCTTCTCAGTCTAAATTTTTTTCCCACATCTGTATGTGTTTCTAATTGGATGGCAAAGTTTCATGAATCCTTTGGTATATAATCTATATTAAAGATGTTCTACAAGTAGAAAGATTAATTGTGCCTTTTCTTGAGAAAAAAAAAGAATTATAATTTATAATAGAATCAATAATGCCTAGGATTGTAATTTTGGGCTGAATTTGAAGGGAAACAAGATGGGAAATACTTTATTTCCTTTCTTCCCTGTCTCAGCTCTTCTGTTTTACTGACAGTCCATTTATGACTTGTCTATCTTGACACGTGGTCCAGCCCTCCATGTGGTAAGTTATTAGCCATGAACCTTATAAACACCACTGGAAGAAAAACCATTTAATTACCCATGACCAACAGTAACCATCAGTATTTAAATGATGTCAGACTTCTAGCAGCAAGAGCTGATTGAAATTGAATCAGATTTAGTTTGTTCTTTCAAAATAACTTTTACAGTTACTTTTGCACACCCGAGTGTAGCTGTGACCTGAAAGTATTGCTCTTTCTCTCCCTGCTTGAGCTTGCATGATTTTAGCTCCTAAGACATCAAAGAACCCATTCTTCTAGCAATGTGTCCCTCTTGACATCAGATTCTTGATTTTAGCATTTCCCAGCAGACTGTGGGCAGTGGAACTCTGGTTGGTCTGAAATTCTGAGGCACAATTGGAGGGGTCAGTAGATCACCACATATTCCACTTGGTCAATGTACAGTAGCAAAAAACAATCTGAAGAAACTGGCCATGGCTTTTTCCACAAAAAGCTGACTGTAACTTATACCACTTATATTGATTAGCTCCTTTTCAGATTTGTTTTTACATACATTTCAAATACATTTTGCTTCATATTTTTAAAACTAGAGACACAGCATTTGAGTTTGTTGAAATCTTATTATTTGTGTATTTTGAGGGTGCATGCACTACATTTTCAGTCAAATATTTATTTGAAAAATTAACTTTGTAGAGCTAATTTTACAGATTCACAGAATGTTCTGAATTGGAAGGGACCCACAGGGATCATCAAGCCCAACTCTTAAGTAAATGGCCTGTACAGGGGTTGAACCCACAGTTTTGCCATTATTAGCACTATGCTCTAGCCAACTAAGCTAATTTCAGGGTATTGTATTAGTTTAAAAATTACTGCATTATTTAATTTTTGATGTAATATTTATATTTTCTTTAAAATATTGTATCATAAAGTAACATACAGTGTAAATATTTGACTTATCACATGTATTACAGTGTGTGGCTATAACTCACTAATTGAAAACAAATCTGGTCTGGAACATTATTTGGATATTAACAACATAATGATGACATGACTTACAGATTTCATGAAAAACTATATTAGTCTATGTATATTTAATGAAGTATGCTGTATTTTTCTTAGTATGAAAATCTCTTTATGGATGGACTATAAATCAAAAGCTAAGTTAGAGTCTTGAAATACAACAGCCATATGTTGCCATGGTACTGTAAGTCAAGATAAATGTTAAAGATAATAATGGATATGCATAATAAGGTGTAGCAAAACTGAATGAAGAACCTAATAGATTATTGAATCCCCTATGGTTTATACCACTTTTTCAACACTATTTTAAAATAGCACAGCTTGGTTATAATATAAATTTTGCTTCTGATACCCAGTAATTCTCATTTTAGGACTGTGATTAATGCTGCATACACGGAGAGAGCTAATGAATTTCTAATAGTGTAATTTTTGTCCATGTCAGCTAATCACATGCTCAGATTTTTTTTTTTTTTTTCATTTAAGGTGCAGTTAGTTAAGGATATTGTGCTAATCTCAGACACACAATATCGCTGATGATATTTCTCATTTGTCTAATTGTGTATGATAACATTTTCTTGTCATTAAAGTATAAATTCTGTCTCATCCCGTGTACGGTAGCAAAGACTAGTTTTGAACGCCAAGTTCCATTTTTGCCATCTTTTATGTAAGATAAATCTTTTATGTATGTTTTTTGTATTTTTGTTTTTGGCATTTGATCTATGCTAATATCTGCTTATCATTTAAAGAGGGTAAAATGCTCTCTAATTGGCTGGTTGATAAAATTTTGGTACTTTGGCTTTCTGTGTTGTTGTTAGCCATGCATAAAATGCTTTCCTATTGATCAGTGTAGAATAGCCAGGGTTTAAACAGCTGACATCTGCTTACTTTAAAAAAAGAAAAAGAAAACAGAATAACAAACCATTTCAGCCTAATCTACCTCAAATGTGTGCATGTAAATGGGGGTCCATCTATTGACCTGCATTCTTTTCAGTTGTGGATTGGTCCACACGGTTTATGAAACCAGGAGGGCTGATTTGAAATGCAGATGTCGAGACAGTGAACTACACCCTCCCCTTTTTCCTTTGCTGTATCTGTCAGGGTGAAAAATGGCTTGCACAAGGGTCAGTCACCCATACTCACTTAATTACTTTCCTTGGACCTACAGAACTGTCACAAGCTGTGGTGGATGCAGGCGCTGTTCCTCTTTTAGTGCTCTGTATCCAGGAGCCAGAAATTGCTTTGAAAAGGATTGCTGCTTCAACTCTCAGTGATATTTCAAAGCATTCTCCAGAGTTAGCACAGACAGTAGTGGCTGCAGGAGCTATCGCTTACTTAGCTCAGATGATCCCGAACCCTGATGCTAAACTGAAGGTACATTTAATTTATTTTTTAATCTCCATGATACCAGTCATTACTTGAAATTGAATCAAAGACAACGGATGTGCATATTTATTTAGAAGCTCTTGGTTTGGGTGTTAACAAAATGTAACTATGTAGTTAGTGACAAAGAGTTCTGCACGTGTTTACAAATTTAGATACTGGATATAAACTGCAGCTCTGTGAGGAGCAGCTAAACTAATATTTAAAGTGAAAAGTATGGGATATTTTTAGAAATATATAGTATATGAAGAATGCAACAGATACTTTGAATAGGTAAAATTTACACATTTCAGCTACAAAAAAGGTTTTGCATACTAAAGATTATAAGATAAGCCAGTTAATAGTGAACTTATTGTATTTTAGAATATACTATCTGATGTGAATGGCTTTTGTCAAAGATTTAATCACTAGCATTTGATTGACAAAAAAATTTGTTTATTATAAATTTTCTGTCTTACTCTACCAAACAGAAAACAACATAAAAATGCCACAAAAACATCTTAAGATCTGACAGATCCAATTTATGTAAATAAAAATGCCTTCTAGAGATTTTAGTAAATTTTAAATTACAGCTTTAAATGATACATGTATATATATATTTAATACATACAAGCTTGAATGGGGTAAAACAAAAGAGAAACTTTTATTCAGGAACCAGTGAATGTTTTATGCCATTATTTTTGTGCATGAATTGACTCAATGAATTGTAAAATAGCTGTAATTGTTTTCCCTATCCTGCTTTGTTTTCCTTGATGCAATAGATTTTTGTGTGCAGGGGGAGTGTGTGTTGTGGGATGTTTGTATACTATTGATTTTACAACAATTTTTATTTACTAGCGTCAGGTGCTGTCAGCTCTAAGCCAAATAGCAAAGCATTCAGTGGATCTTGCAGAGTTGGTGGTTGAAGCAGAAATTTTCCCAGTTGTGCTCACATGCCTGAAGGACTCAGATGAATATGTCAAGAAAAATGGTGCAACTTTAATTAGAGAGATAGCAAAGCATACGCCTGAGGTAAAACCTTGAAAATGCAAATACAAGGTCATATCATTAGATTTTACACTTTAAATAAAATACAGGATTATTCTGTCATTTGCTTTTCGAAAGGGAGGGCAAATGGCTGTTTGGCATGTTCATTGGAAAATATGGAAATGCTGATATTATGAGATGTGTATTGAATATGAATTGGGTTAGGAAACTGGGAATCATAAAATGTATACCTAGCTACTTCATTCTATGAGATATCAGCACAGAGAGGGAGTTCTTGGCTGACAATACTGTCAGTCCTAGATATTAAAAATATTATGAGAAAAGCCTCACAGAAGTCATGATACGAGCTACTAAATTGCAAGATCATCCTTTAACAATAATAGATGGTGTGTGTCTTCTTAAAAATCTTCAGGGGTGCTGGGATCACATTTTAATTATTTTTCCAATGACAGCAAAGGTCAAAAATTCTCTTATTTATTATTAACCTGATGGTAACTGAAGTTTGTAATTTGAGTTTGAGCATTTACAGTGTTTTTGCCCATAAGAAGGTGGGGATGTTTGGCAATGTCAATACAAAATAAATAGGAAAACCATATAATTATAACTATGGTAATCTGCCAGACCACAGAGATAATTAAAAGGCTCTAAATATGACTTTGGAATGAAATATAAGTCATGTATTTGTGGAACACACTAATGCTGAGCATAGTAATTTCAAAATCATGATGCTAACTTAACAACTGAGAAGTGTTTAAACATGAATATTGTGCAGTTTCTTCAGCTTGCCAGTCTTTAAACTGGTGATAAAAGTTTACAGTCTTGGCACATTTCCTGCTTTATTTCTGTATCTCATGGGCAATGCAACTTCACTTCCTCAAAAAAGTAAAGAAATTATCATCATCAAAAGGGGGCCCTAGAGTCAGAAGCCAGAGACCAAACTCAGGATTGCAGGTGAAGTCAGAAGAGCTTCTGGCACCACCAGATCCTCCACACAAGAGGAGCTGGCCATGCTAACAGCTCTCCAAAGGAGCACTAGGAAGCATCTTGGTGACTCCCAATGGGAAGTCACAATCTGTGTCTGACTTAGAGTGACAGAGATGACTGTCCAGCTCTGGGAACTCTATTCAAGCAATGCATGTTGCAGTAGAGACAGGGTGATAATTGATATTTCTAGAGGATTTGGCTGTGTCATTTGAGACTCATGGCTTTTGGATCTCAACTCTCTAGCTGCCTATGCAGTAAAATTAATGTGAGGTCAGCAGCAGAGGGACTTGGAGCAAGGGCTGAGGGACACGGCAGGAGCTCTGCACATCCAGGTGCACATGGCTGTGTCCAGATGTAGGACTTGGTTGCCACTGGCTGTAATTCACAATCATGTGAACAGATTTTCCTAAGTATTAACTGAAAGCTTTATCTGGCTGTTTCATGAAGAAAACAATCCCCTTTTAAAGGCTCTAAGACAAAGGTGGATTTCATATTTATAGAAATCAACTGGATTGGGAATTCATGTGCCTCAGTTTTGTTAATTTAATTTTAACTTTTAAGAACACATTCCTTTTGCTTTGGAATCTGTAGGGAGAATGGGATATACCTAAAAATGTGGAAGAAAATAATAATTATAATATGAAATAATTTTGATTTCTATGCATTATTAATATCATACATATTCTACTGCTGCATCTCAAGTGATGTGACAAGTTTTCTTTTGGTAGAAACCCATGTTGCATTAGCTTGATTTTAATTTATAAGCAAGGCTATGTAATTTGGCATTCTGGGGCAGACTCCATTACCCATCAAGTGTGTTCCCTGGACACTTCCCTCAGAGAATGCTAACATGGCAGAATGTTGCAGCCAAGTAGGTTTTGTACATCCAGAACAGTTGTCCTTGCCTTCAAGCCTCGGCGTGAGGATCCACAAAGGATTTGATGCCACAGAGGTAATTTAGAATGCAGGGGAGAGGAGGAATGGGCCTTTGCCTCTGTCACTGCACAGAACATAGGATGTTAGTTTGGGAATGAGAGGCCACTAGGATGAAACAGTATCTGGCTCATTAGGTGCATCTTCAAGATCAGTCATGTGATAAGCTGTCATTTGCACATTTCTTTGATATGTGATGATGGAGTTGAGAATAAGCCATTCCATGCTATACAGCATCAAGGATTCAGAACTCTGATTTCCTTGCAGTTAAGTCAATCAAAAACACAGTAGCAAATTTGCCTCGTTCCTCAAAACTTGATGCTATGCTTAGTTCCCAACATTCTGTATGATACATCACTCCCATTCCAACTTTATTTTGTAAAACAGGACCGACACATTAAAAGGCTTCTCTAATGTGGTTCTTTCTGCCTGTTGAAACTTCAGAGTATCTAATATCTTCTGTTTATTTTTTCAGCTTTCACAGCTTGTAGTAAATTCAGGCGGAGTTGCTGCTGTGATTGATTGTATTGGCAGCTGCAGAGGGACTGTCAGACTGCCTGGCATCATGACACTTGGTTATGTGGCAGCTCATTCAGAGAACCTGTCAATGGCAGTGATTGTCTCCAAGGTTAGCTATCACTTTGTTGCCTTCCTGTAGCTCTTCAGCAGTATTCTTTGGTACAGATACAAATTAACATAGGCACTGTATGTATTTTGTGACAGGATTATATACTTGCTCTCCATGAATGCACTTTCTCCTAGTATTGCTGCTTTCTATGACTGAAATTCTGTGGCAGCCTGATAAAAGGGTGTCTTTATGGTGTTAAACCTTTTACAAAACATCGTGGATGCGTGACTTTTCCGTGTTGCAATTGCATGGGTACAGAAAATAAATCACTGAATTTCTGTAGTCTGCTTCCTCTTAAAATGTGTATTTGGGGCTGCATCGAAAGCTTCTTTGGAACAACTGTGTTTAATGGCATTTTCTTCATTGTACAAGCCTGGCTCTGCTAGTACTGCTGGAGTATCTCGTAACAGCGATCTTCAGACTTGAAAAGAGCTCAGTTTCTTATGTAATGTGGCTTGATTCAGTTATGCAAGTGACATTTCAAATTAGTAAAGTTATACATTTTCAGGTTTAAATAAATTCTGCTGGGCAATGATATAGAAGAGGGAGAATTTGCAATGTTCACAATAGGTGAAATTAGTGTCTGGCTTAGTAATCTGATATAAATAATGCCAGTTAATGACAGAAAGAAGGAAACAGTTTCATTAACATTTTTGACCCATTTTCACACTATGGCAGTCATTTAAAACAAAACAATATAAATAAAGGAACAGAAATGTCTTCTAGTAGAAATGCAAGTTGAAAAATGGAAGTTGCTACAACATAATATAGTATGTAGGGCAAGTAGGAATGATCAAAAAATGCTCTTCTGTATTTTGAAACTAAAGAAATAGATGCTTTTTTCTTGCCACCTCTGGAGGCCCTTCTTCTCTGGATGTGTCTCTCTTTCCACTTTTAGGAATGCCTAGAGCAAATATGCTCCTGCTTTTGAGTGCTTGACATTAAGTGGGATGAAACCAGGATTAAGTTCTGGAGGAAGCCCCTAAGTTAGAATTTTGAAGAATAATAATGATTCCTCTCATAACTGAATGGAACTGCTGTGAGAGCTGTTGTAGGCATCTGGGCAAACTTTGATGAACTGAAATATGTTAATGAATGATCTACAAAAGAAATAATAATAAACACAAAACCCATTAAAAAAACCCAAACAAAACAACAAACCTGCTTCAGAGGAAATTAAGCTTGTGGAGGGGTACATAGTGCTGAGGACGGGCTTTGGTAAACTGGAACCATTTGAAAGAAATGCACTGTGGCATAACCATATGCAGTTAGACACTGATGATATTATGATGTAAAGTGATAGTTCCATTCCATGGTACTCTAACCTGGAAAGGATGGATTTCTAACAATGATTCTTGGGATCATACTGGACAAACACTTCACTGTGGTCTTCTGCTGTAATGCAGTGGCAAAGCCACCCACAATTTAGTCCTTTGTGGTATGAAAGAGTAGAAGATGAAGCATTATTGGAAAAGAAAAGTTTATCTATTTGTTTTAGTAATATGTATAGTTCCACTGTCTGTATTTGAAAAGTATATTGGGGGAAAACCCAAAACAGCAAAGCAGAAAACTGTGCAGAAAAGAGTAAAGAAGGATTCATGGGATGGAGAAAAAGGTTTTTTGGATAGAGGTTTAGTAGCCTTGCCTTACCTAAAGTAGCATGGAATGTTTCCTGTTGGAGTGTTTTGGCATAAAGTACCAGCTACTAAGTAGTTCTGGAGAAAGTATAAAGACTGTCTGAACTGGAGCAGCTTTAGTAAGAGCTGGATATGGGACTTCCATCTCTTGATGTCTACAAATCAGGAGTGGAAACCCTTCTTGAAGTGATTGGATGAGTCAAACATGAACTGCTGGACTCAAAAAGAGGTTGATAAGTTGAAATTTAGTCCTGTGGATAATAAAAAAAAGAAAGACTCAGTGATTGAGCACTTCTGATCTTAAACTGATATCATAGATTCATAAGCACTCAGATTTTTATTTTCAGTTTGAGAAATTTGCATGTTTGTTCAAGCCGCTTTCTGACTTAGAACATTGAATCTGTTTCTTGTTAACTATATTTATTAAGATTTATTAAAACTTCTTGCTAATCATGATGCTGTAAATGTATGACACCATTAGCATGCATCCTCTTACAGGTTTTTTTAGGAGAGTGTAAATAGAGAAACATTTTCTAACTATCTGTATCTGTTTCGCATTGTCGTTCCCTGGTCTACATTTGTAAAGGTTGTGCTTTTGATTAATGCTACAGGGAATACCACCACTGTGTGTCTGCTTGATAGAAGAACATGAAGATCATATTAAGGCAGCAGCTGCTTGGGCCTTGGGACAGATTGGAAGACACACTGCTGAGCATGCACGTCATGTTGCAGTAGCAAACGTGCTGCCCACACTGCTTGATATCTTTGTGGACACAGGCAGCTCAGAAGATCTTAAAGTGAAAGCAAGTAGATTTGTAGTATTTGCAGTGTGGTATATTAATTGTAATCAAGATATTTAAGTGCTTAAAAACTACTAAATTATATGTGTTTTAATTGATGCTCATTGAGTCGCAGCTTTCCTGAGTGCAGTGTCTGAAGGCTGTGTCACTTATTAGGGGACTGGCTGGTCCTAATGCATGTGCATATGGTATATACCAAATCATATGCTACAGCCACCACAGCAAATCCCTTATTTTTTTCCCATTTTAGATCAGAGTTGCATAGATCCATATTGCTGTAATTTCTTGTGACTCATTTCTAATTATCTGCTTCTTTTTTTGCAAGTATAAGCTCTTGTAAAAAACATTACAGTCCTTGTAATAATTTTGCCTACACTTTTATTATTACAATAAAACTGTAACAGCTAATCAAGGTTCTGCTCTTTAAAACATGCAACTGCCCATATTTAGGGCCTTTCCTTGTGTGGGAGCCCATAGAGTTGCAGTTTACTAAAGTGTACTTCTGAGCAACAGTAAGAGTGTTAAAGGACAGGATAGGATCTCCCATGTTGCACTGTGCTTCTGCACATTCCATGTACTTTTTATATAGTAATTTCCAGTAGTCCCAAAAGTATTGAAGCCAAATTAGCTGTACCTGTAATCCTGACCAAGAAGGTCACTACTGCTTATATCTGTCAACACTGAGTTTGTTTTCAGAAATATGCACCAATGCACAATTGTTTCACTCTCTCTTTTCCCCCCCGCCTGGACAGTACTGCACTTTGCTATCCCAGACCAGCAGCCTCTCCTAGTAAGCCACTTCTAAAATACAATCTTGTAAAATATGTTTTGATTTAACTTTCTTATTATATTAGAGTACTTCAATTTACCTAAAGGGTCTACTCCAGCTTTCATTATAGTCAAAGGAAAATTGCCATTGCTTTGACTGTAGATAACATAATAATAATATGATGCGCTGTAGGTTTTGAGGTTTAATAAATCTAAGTAGAGAATTGATTCTTCATTAAATGACCTGATAGATATCATAGTTTCTATTCAGAAATTGCTCATTGAAAATTCTGATCAATTTGCTTTTTTGATCAGACTTCAGTGATATATATGAATTCTCATTGTTTTTGTTGATATCTTACTACAGAAAGTTTATTTTGCATTTCAATAGGCTAAGAAAGCCTTAAAGAACATTCTTCAGAAATGTACATATCTTCCAGCACTTGAACCACTGCTTCATGAGGCCCCTCCCAGTATCATGAAGTATATTATCGGGCAGTATAGTAAGGTAAGAAAAGGCTCTTCTTGGTGAGTAATATGCTAATTGCTAATTGCTTCCCATTTAGGCACTCTAAAGGTGTTGTTGTTTTCTCAAGATCCTCAAGCATCCCCTTCCAAAACAGTTTGGATCCTGTTCTTTTGTCTTATACAGCTGGATTTGGAATCTGCCATAATTCATCCTAAGACTGGGAAAACAGTTTCTTATAAGCAAGGTGTTTTTTTCTTCCTTGCCTCTTGAGATTAAGTGGAATATTAACTCATGTGCAAATATTTTCGCTGAGCCAATGTATCACATAAATCCCAGTCACATCTGTTTTAGATAAACTACAAGCTATCTGTACAGCAGTGACTTAAGTCAGATATTTTACAATAATATAGACTTCACTCCTTTTACCCTGATTAATTTTCAGTCACAAATAAGTGTGAAAATTCCAAATCTTTTTTCATCCCCCTCAAAATTTTGCAAGTTAATTGTTAAATACATTGTTGATTTGAATGCAGCATGTAAAAGTGATACAATTTATTAAAAATATTGAAAATTTGTAAGTAATTGCTAACTAACTGGGAGACTTGCAGTGTCTGACATGTTCAGCTCGTGTTGGGAATCCTGTTCAACTATAGGCTGTGTTTTGTGCTATACTCTGCAGTGTAACCTGTTAGCAGGGTATACCAAGCTCTGTTGGTGAGATGTTCTTTCTGGAGATGGCCAAGTAAAACACTCAGTTCTGATTATGACAGACCTGGAAGCACTGCTGTTGGTAGTGCAGATCCTGATTACATTGCCACAGTTTCATTTGTCCTGTCTTCTTGGTAAGGCTGTTCAAAGACTGAAGATCTGCACAGAATCCAGTCCCTTTTGCTTCTTCGTTCTGACTGGAGCTCTTAATCAGCCAAGTGCATAGCAATTGGTTATCCAGTGTACATTTGAATGTTGCTTGCTATTGAAATGGTTTTGTGCCCTTCATATCAGCTGATACTTTGTTTCATTTTTCTCCTTTGCCTATATGGTATTAAACTATACTTGTCTGGCATTTGTTCTTCTGAAGTATACTCTTAATTTTAAGTTCTCTGTAGTAAAAGCATTTTTCTCTGCTGTACCATACCTTGGGAATTTCCTATTCTTAGAGCTGTGGTATGTTACTTCTGTGGGCTTATTTATGGCACAGTAAAAGCCTGATTTCCAAGCTGTGCTTCAAAACGGGGTGCTGTTTATTTTTCATGCTGGACTGTGCATTTTCGCATTAACATTTTCAGAGTTTGTGCAGTTCTGTGCTGTCTCAGGTTGGATTGGGGGAAGAAACTGTGTCTTAGAGGTGCTCTCTCTCTTTAGGGCCCCTTCCCAGAAAGTGTTTTGCTGTCTTATCCAGCCTGGAAGTCACAGTGTGGAGGAGGAAGGCAGGGAAAGGGCCATATCCTGTCTCCTTGCTAGTTCCTCCTTGGCAGTTCTTGTAGTGGGAGATATGTGAAAACAGACGTCTGTTCAGTTCCCACAATGAAGAAAATCACAGTTGTTCCTGACACTTCTGTGGAGCATATAATAAGAGAAGTCTTTGTGCTCTTCTGCTTTTTCTTTACCTGTCTGTTGATTTTGTACAGCCTAGAGGAACCACAGAAATGAAGGTTGTTTGCCTGTATGCATAGAAGAAATTTTGTTCTTTTTCTTCATCCTTTTAGGCATTCCCTTCCTCATTTGAGGCTGTAGTTTTACACTGAAATACAGTCTAATTTATGACTTAATGTCTGACCATTACATTTTTTAAGTCTGAAGCTTACAAAATGCTTTTGCCCTCATAATCTATAACTCAGAGTTGATTTTAAACGCATCTGGTTTTGCTGTAGGTGCAGCTGACATCTTGCATTATCTTCTATCTTTCTTTTTCTCTATTTTTTTTTAATAATATTGCAGCCCTATGGGCCTATGGACTACATGCTGTCATTCTCCCTTGCCTGGCCCAGCCCCCACTTCCCTCCCTCCCTGCCGTCCTCTGGACAGAGCTGCGTATTGGCATCACTCAGGGAGCACAGAATGTTATTGTCTGATCATTTCTGCTTCTCATCCCCTTTGGCTGCAGAAACTTCACGTTTATGCTTTGTGTGTGTGTTTGTAAAAGGCTTCCATGGCTACACAGTGTGTTAAAGGATTTTAATATCTAGGAATTTAATAGTAGCATGTAATGCTTCAAGGCTGTATTGTTCACTTGCAACAATTCTCAGTATTGTTTTCATGCACTAATCTATACTAGATCATTATAATGATATAAAATTCAGCTCTACAATTAAACTGTGGGAATTGACATAAAAGACCTGAATAACTTGGTTTAAGTGGAACAGATGCTGTTGTTATTCCATGTTAGTGTTCTGTTTTGATTATCTATTTATTCTCTGCAATCTTATTGTCTCTGTAGGAATAACTGAAGAAATATTATTTATGTAAGGATAAATATTAAATTCATTATTTTATATATGTTATGTATTAAAGTACATGATAAATTATGTTGTAATTATAAAGGGATGGTTTCTGGGGTTTTTTTTTCCCTATACAGCTGGGTGTTATAATACAGTAGTCATTACAGATGTTGTTTCTTGGATTTTCCATTTTATCTGTCCTCTGAATTAAAAACAAATAAGCAATATATAAGCCTAGTAGCATACAGATTAATGAAAAAAAAATTAATTTACTATTCTGTGTGTAGGTGTTACCACATGATAGTAAAGCACGTCGTCTCTTTGTAACAACTGGTGGACTTAAAAAGGTTCAAGAAATACAAGCAGAACCTGGGTCACTTCTTCAGGAATATATCAACACTATTAACAATTGCTATCCAGAGGAAATAGTAAGGTAGGGAAAATTAAATTTAAAGATTTTATACTTGTTACATTGTTAGATGTTTTTCACAGGAACAACACAAAAGAAGGATTTAAAATTTAACTCCTATGTGAATTTTGGTTTTAATAAAACCAAAGCATAACATTTGGTTAATTGCCCCAGCAGTAACACAACCTCTGGACACATACATTAGAATGCTTTCTCTTTTTGTATTTGGAATCAAATTTCTTTGTCTGTCAACAAAGTCCAAATAATCAGGCTCTTGAAGGAAGGTGTGACAAAAAGTCAGTCCTGCACTGCACAGATGGACTCTGAGTCTTCAGTATTCACTCATATTTATGAATGTCTGTGGGATATTTATTTTGGTGACTTATTTGTGGATTACTTAGGCTCCAAAATACAGGTATTGGTAAATCTTTGGTTGCATCCTTGACTTTCCTAATAGTGTGTCTGAACTAGAGTATTCAGAGGCTCCTTTGAAACTTCCTCTGATGTACAGAGGGTCCAGAGGCTCTCCAGCACAGTTGCTCTGCCCACAGCTGCCCTTCCTCCCTGAGCCCCATCACAAGGCTTAAATGTTATATAAAAGAACCATACACCAGCTGTCTGCACCAAGTTGAACTTTGCCCTTAATGAATACAGAAACACTATTAAATAGCTTACAGTCAAAATGTCACCATCCTAAATTGTAATAATGAGAGAAATGCCCTCCTAGATTCTAGATATCCATTTACCAGTCCTTCACTCCATCAGCACATCAGAAGGATGTTGTACTCATGTACTCCCTCTACAGGCTCTGAAAATCTGCATCATCAATTTTAATTATAGCAGCAGAGTTCTTCAGCTAATAGTAGCTAGAAACTAAGTCTCACAAAATGAAGCCCTGTTTGTCTCCACAAAGGAAAACCAGTGGCTGTCAAATGGGTAAAAGCAAAGTCATAAAGAAATTTTATTCTGCAGCTAGTACTTCAGAGGGAAACAGGAATTTGCTTATGCTTTTCTGGATATTAATAATGTTTTTTTGTTATAGCAATTTTTTCCTCCTGTAAATGAAAAAAGGTTACTCATCTAGCCTGGGATGTAATAAAGGAAAAGGCCTCTCTGAGCATCTCTTGCTTGCCTGTCTGTGCTTCTGCCTGATGTTGGTTGTGCTGCCTGAGGCACAGAAGCTGTGATAGAATCCAGCTCTGGATTTGTCCTGGAGACCTGTTATTTTAGGCTGTTTGCAGACTGAATACAGTAATGCATTGGAAAGTTAGCTTTACAAATCACAGAACTAATATGAAGTTTAAAAAGAGTTTAATTATGCAGAAGTTATTCATAAAAATGAAAATTAACAAGGTAAATAGGTTTTCCTTCAAGGGAAAGCACTAGGGATGTTTTTTGAGTATTTTTTAGGCCTACATTACATGGAGGTGTGTTCTTCTCTATAGCTCAAGCTTTCAGGGCTTAGAGGCGGCAATTCACATGCCTGCAAAACTAAAAATATACTGAGACGTATGTTTTTAGAATAATACAGTATTAAATTTCAGATACTCTTAACTTGGAAAAAAACCTAAATGCAGCTTTGATGCTTGCCTATTGGATGCATGTAGTTGGTCCATTGTGGAAAACCAGCTGAATGACAGCAGGACAAAAATGGCACCGTAGAGTCCTATAGAATCCTACTCTAACGAAAACCTCTGGAAAATGTCCATCCTTGAGTGGCATTAGAGAGAGAAATTCACTGGGACATTTATTTTAGTTCCAGAACCAGTGTCCCTCTCATGGATGTAGGCTTCATGTGAGTTTCAGGATGTGTCTGACAAACAGCAGCAGACTATTGTCATTTGCAGCCAACAGTTCTCTGTAAACTCATGCTTTTTTGTTAAAGGCCATAATTCCAAAAGAAGCCAGCACCTGCGTTTCTCAGTAAAGACAATGCTTATGGCAGCTGAAGCTGAACCTATCTGAAATGTAGCTGCTTACCTACATGCCTTAAAAGAAGCTAAATATATATTAAAAAACCTGACTTCCAAGTATAAATGATAATGGACATTGAAAAGCAGGTTGTTAAAACATCGTAGGGGAGTAACTACAGAGGTCCTTGACTGGTGTTTGTTTTTTTTCCTGATCAGTAGAAATATGCAAAGTGTTTCATTACTTTGCACAGAACATGCCTTATAGTCTAACACACAAACAAAATGTTTCTCTTTCAGGTATTATTCCCCTGGATATTCTGAGATGCTCCTGGAAAGGGTGGAAAATTACCAACCAGTTTTATAAACTTCAGAGTTTTATTAGAGCTGCATTTCACATTTATACCTTTATGACTGTAATACAAATACAGCTGTTGAAAACCTTGCTTGATTCTCAAATCTCTTTCTACTGTTTGAACTACTGAAAAAGCTCAGCAATTCTAGCAAGCTACATTTTATTCTTTATAAACTTGTTTGTTGCTAAGTTTTTGTTCCTTTTTNNTTTTGTTTTTTTTTTTTTTTAACATTACTACCAGGTATTGCCACATATATGAATGGAATTTGATGCAGAAGTGATGATTTATCACAGAAGCTTTTTTAGAATCAGTCATTTCCTTTTTCTTCCACAAGAAAAGTTTGTTATCTCATTCAAATTTTAGCCTTCTCAGTACTTACTACCATTTTCCCCTTTTGCCTTTGTATATTGTTTAAAGCTTCCCAGGCTTGATGAGGGGAAAAAAGCTGGCCCCTGTGTTCTTTCTAATTATGGAATTCTTTCTGCACTGAGATATTTCCTACTGCTACCTTTGAGGAAGTAAAATGTTATTTTACATGTCCAAACATGTTAGTAGCAGCTAAACAAAGAAATATCAGAGATGAAGACGATACAAGGGCTGAATGATGATACAAAGGCATGATATGGTGATGTGGTGATGTGGCCTGGTAGATAATACATCTTCTGCTAAAGTCCTCCTAATTAAGGCAGGATACTCTGTGAGGATGGGGGCAATACACTGTGTGGCCTGTGCATGGTTGTTCCTCTTGAGAAGGACAGAGTGAACTCAGAACTTCCACGGAGCCGAAGGGAAGGACCCTGGGAGTTTGGTTCTGCGGGGTCAGCAGCACATTTGTGTGGCTCAGAGGAGAGGAGGTTTGCTTGGCTGCAGGAACACTGTTAGCAAAGTTCTGAGCACATTCAGAGGAAATCTGAGGATGCTTAGGTTGCACTGATTGGACTGATGGGCCTAAGGTGGCTTAGGATTTATGCTTCAAGGGCTGAAGAGTTGAGCTAAAACACATTTGGAACTTAAGTCTTGAAGCTGCAGATCACATTGATGTAGAGATATGAGTTCTTTCCCTTCTGTAGAACATCCTGAAATTATTTTTACCTTCTTCTGGAGAGTGAAAAGACATTCTGCTTACTCCTCTGCTGTATCGCACAGCAAACAACCCTCTAGTCTTCCCTAATATGTAACTGTCATATACCATTTTTTGTTCTAACCATTTTTCTTTTTCTCATTTGCAGCAGTTTGGGGGGTGTAGTTTTTTGTTTTGTTTTGTATGCTTGTTTTTTGGTTATTGTTTTTTTTTGTTTTTCATTTTTTTCCCAAAGACTACTAAACAGTGTTACTGGAACGGGATATGGAAATACTGGCAGCCACAAGGAAAGACAATATTTGAAAACCTCCACTTGAGAGAAACTTACCTACTTTCTTAAACATATAGCTGAATGGGTTTATAAAAGAAGGATAGTCTCATCTATTACTTGTAAAGCAGGAGCAGAGACTGATTGCAGTTGGAAATTATTTAGAGTGGCTTTTCTTTGCCGAATTCCAAATGACTAATTTTTTATTCTTGTCAGCATATTTTTCAACAGTTCACAAAAATATTGGTGGGCTATCCTGTGTTAAAATTTATTTCTACAGAGGGCTGTGCTCCTGCTGTGAAGTACTTAGTGCTCTGAGACTCTGCTTTTCAGGAGGACCAGGGGATACACAGTACCTTACTGTATGGAGACTGAGACAGAAACTGTTGGTGTCATGAATGTTAGTGTAGAATCCACACCCACTGGGTTCTTTCCTTAGCCCACGGCTAAGTGAAAAGCCTTGGAACTGATGGGCTTCTACCAAATGCCTTTTTTTATTTTAGTGTTTATATTCTGACATTAATGCTAGGATATTGTGGCACTATTAATGCTCATGGAAAAACTTTGAGACTCTTAACGAGATTGTTGTTAAGAGTAATACTCAGTAATTTCCTCAGGCACATTGTGAATATTTAAAAGTCAAATTTTTTACAATCTCTGAAACAAAATGCAACAGAAGGGCTTCAAGACAGTCTTGAAGGATCTGTAGCCTCTGTTTTCCCTAAGAGAGCAGAAGTGGTGCAGAGGGCTGTGTGCAGATGGGAGGCAGCAGAGGCATGGAGCTGTGTCCCCAGAGCTGCCTCGTGTGCTCGGGAGCACCCCCACCCCACACAATGCTAATGTATATGTTTTGTGCAGAGAGAGCAAAGAGGCTTCAGTCCCCTGACAAATGTGCTCCTGCTGTGTCACACTGTGCTACACTGTAAGGATTCCACAGGGTTAAATTTCAATGCCTAAACAATTTGTTCACAGTCTTTTCACAGTCTTTTTCTGATTCCTGACAAAGGAAATGATTGCACAAGGCAAACCTCCAAAGCGATCTGATTGTGTAGAGCACAATCTAAATCAGACCTAGCATAAATACATTTTACATCCCTGGGCAGCTCTGGCCTAGGCCAGTGGCTGTTTGGCCTCTTGTTGCAGGATTCCTGGACGATGCCACATCCCATTAGGCTGTGGCAGTGCAAAGTCCTCTCCCACGTAGTTTGAGACCCTGGCAGTTCTTTGCTGGCAGGCTGCTTCTCTGCCTTGCACAAACTCCTTGTGGCTGGAGGCTTCCCTGGAGGTACATGTCTACACAAGACAGATCTAGCCCTTCACAGCAGAAGTATTGCTAATTTGTATTTTACTAATGTAACTGTGGCAAGAGTTGCATTTTCCTTGTAATGTTTCACAAGGTGTTTCTTCAGTGTTTCTACTCCATCCTCTCATTTGGTTTAAGTCATCATCTAAAACTATATTAATGTTTGTAATAACTGCTCTGGCAGGCTTCAAGTGTGTATCATTTGTCTCAATTTTGTATAATAAAATATAGATTTGCATTTTAATTCCTTCAAATGCTGTTTTCATGCAAGTGTGTGACTGTGGTGCTAGAGAAGATGAACAACAGGCTCATTTTGCAGCTTGGCCCCTACACTTGCCTTTGGGTGTTTGTCTCAGCTTACCACTCAACAGTGCCTACTTTGGAGCTTAGGACATACAGGCATTTCAAGTAAGAGTCCCTCTCACAGAGGTGGCTTATTAAGACACACAAAGATTATTAAGCCAGGGCTTTGGCAGAAATAAATGTAAACCCTTAAATCATTTTGCCTGTTCCTTTGACTGCAGCATTGGGACTTTTCAACTCAAGTCTCTAAAGATCTTCTTTGGGGGCCTGAGCCATGATTTCTGTCTGCATTACTACAGTTATTATTACATCTACAGATGTAAACCAGGGCCTTGACAGAACTTGTGGATGTGTAGAACTTTTACCATATTTCATTCAGCAGATGGATTAACTGGCCTACAAAGGCTCCTTTCTTTATCTGAATGACTGGAAACCTAGAGGATCTGAAAAGGGGAAATTCAAGGAGTTCAACTCTTGTGCATATAATGTGTTCTGTATATCCAGAGGGATTTATCAAGGGATTGCTTTGTCTCATCTGAAGTGATCAAGCTGCTGGAGATCTGCATCTTAGCAAACAAATGAACAAAATGTTGAAGGAGTTGAATGGAACTGGTGGAGGAAATGAACCTCATTTTGTGAAATAAAGCATAAAGTTACTGCAATTAGGAAGTGGATGGAGTGTGAGTAGATCTTCAAGTGTTCTTGATTTGGTCTAGGGGGTTGTGAATTAACCTGGCCCTTGGGGTGTTTTAAGTATGGAAAGTGCCATGGGATGCTTTCAACTTTGTTATAGATTTGAGTCCTCCGAGTTCTGGGTATGAAGGGGTGGCAGACAATTGTCTCTCCATGTGAGGAATTTGTGAAAGCATGCTTGCCTCAATTTCTTCCTTAATGGCTGCTTGGTTTCCAGTATCTTGACTGTTGGAATTTTAGATCTCCCTTTGTGACCAGCGGGGGAAGGAAATATGGAGTAGGACTGGATTGCAAAGCCAGTGGCTCCACTTCTCACACTGACATAGGATTGCTTTTATGGTCTTGGATAATTATTACAAATCCCTATGATTCATCATCTTCATCTGTGAAGTATCTGTTCTACTCCTTTGTTAACTTACAGAAGTGCTGGGAAAATTAAATTCATATGGGAGGTTGATGCAGCAGAACTTAAGTTCTTTATAACTAATACCATATTAAGAAAGAAATATTGTTCAAGAACCTACAAAAATTTACCTAGATTTTTAGAACTGGAGTTGAACTAAGAGTCAGTGGATTTTGTGCATTTCCTCATCTGATACAATTTAAAGGAATCACAGAGAAAGAGGAAAGTATTAGATCTTGTGACTATACTAAAACTATTGATGTTATTTTTGTATAATACTTAACTGATAATATTGATGCTACTGTGCTTTATTCTGCAGCCAGCTCTGTAATTTAGCTAGTGAAAATACTAATTACATTATTACCGCTGTACTGTATTTCTAGATATGGCACAAAAGACCGAGTTAGCAAATATGTATAAGCAATACTAATGCATATTTCAATAATGAGAATGCCTTCTAAACCAGGAAATGGTTTTGTGCTGCCTTTCACAAGAAGTTACTCCTGCTTGGGTTAAGCAGGTTTCATGGCTGCATCCCTCCAGCACAGAGGTTGGATCTCGAGGCTCGGAGTGCTCAGCGAGGTGCTGAGGGGCTGGGAGCTGATGTCTGTAGCAGAAACTGGTTGTGTTCACTCTCATGCATCAGCAAACCATGGAGAGGAACAATGCAAGGCTGCTCATGTCACCCGTTTAGCATATTTCCACGGAAATTTTGAAGGCTTGCTTTTTCTTCATAAATATATGCTTGTTCCAACTGCCAAATTTAATTAAATTATAGGTGCTCAGAGTAACATTAGCTTTTCTGTATTTTATTCCTTTTGTAACAAAAATTAAACTTCAAGAGGTGAGAAAAGTGTTTTAATGTATTTCTTTAAAACAAAGCTTTTGATTACTTGTTTGTGTCAATTTAGCAGCAGAACTCTTCATAATCTTATGACAAGATCTGTGCCCCTTGCTCTCAAGGAAAGTTTTGTCTTCACTGATGCAGACTAGTGATGTGTTTTATCCCTGCTGTCCTATCTATAATTAGGTCTGATGCCCTCTGAACACGTTCACATTTCAATATTAGGTCAGTGTTAAAGCCATTATCAACCTAAAAGGTTGGATTGCTATCAGGATCCAGCCTTTGTTGCCCCACAGTGCTATAAATGATATTACGATCTATTGTTAAAATTAATAATATGCAACATAGAGGTCTGATGGAATCATGTTAATGAGAACACTGAAGCTTCATTGACTTGCAATATTATTAGAGCTCGGAGACAGGTTTATAGCCTTGTGCAAACTATATTTGTGTTGGTTTAGACACAGTATTTATTTGGTCACACCCAGCCAAATGTTTCCTTACTAAATTAAAATAAATGCTGGTTAGTTCAATGAACTACAAAGATATATAGTGTAATTTCAGGTTCTCAAGTCACAGAAAATAAGCCCCAGCAATGGAAATCAGCCGAGAATCAAAAATGATGGATATACTGGAGTGAATATGAACAAAGAGGAAAGGGAGTTCACTGGGTTGGGTGCAGTTAATATTTTGTGACCCAAGTAATGTGTAAAATTTGGAAATAACAGCTCCCATTTGTAGTCTGTCCTGGTCTTTATGTAACTCCTGCCTATATACACATATGTACACACTTGCAAGCATAGTCAACCAAAATGTAATCAAAATTACATCTGTCTGCTTTCACAAGACTTGCCTCTGTAAAGCATCTTTAGGGGCTGGTGGGCAGCTCCTGTGCTCACTAATGCCAGCTTTATGGTACTGATTTCCATCCAGGCCAGCAGCACACATCTGATTTCCATTGCAGTGAGAATCAGGCAATAGATATTCATCACCTGTGCTCCAAACAGCTTAGCTTTTTCCTGGAAGCAAAGCAGAAGCAAGAAAATGACTTCCCTGCTTTCTTCTCCAACAGTGCTTCAAATGAGGGAATGGTAGGAAAATCTTTCTAGAATTGGGGAATGGCTCATGCTCTGTGTTGGAAACATAACCTGCAGCCATGCAGAACATGAGATAGAAAGGGAGGTTTGAAGAATCAGTAACATGCTGGTGTTGCAGCCCTTACCTCCTTTGGGAAATGGATGTTAAGGAAGCTTCAAGTTCCCCATCTCCTTTCATGGGTAACACATCCTTGCTGTAGCTGTCCCCAAGTTTGGTCATGGGGCTCTGCCTCCTGGTCTGGGGCAGGTGATTGCATCAGTGACACCATGGCAGTGCTGCTCATGCCAGCCAAGCATTGG